ACCAAAATAGAAAACTCAACTCGTCGTGTTTGGAGGACAAAGAATGCTGAGTTGCATCCAAAGAACACCATACCTACTGTGAAGCATGGGGTGGAAACATCATGCTTTGGGGCTGTTTTTCTGCAAAGGGACCAGGACGACTGATCCGTGTAAAGGAAAGAATGAATGGGGCCATGTATCGTGAGATTTTGAGTGAAAACCTCCTTCCATCAGCAAGGGCATTGAAGATGAAACGTGGCTGGGTCTTTCAGCATGACAATGATCCCAAACACACCGCCCGGGCAACGAAGGAGTGGCTTCGTAAGAAGCATTTCAAGGTCCTGGAGTGGCCTAGCCAGTCTCCAGATCTCAACCCCATAGAAAATCTTTAGAGGGAGTTGAAAGTCTGTGTTGCCTAGCGACAGCCCCAAAACATCACTGCTCTAGAGGAGATCTGCATGGAGGATGGACAGAGGCCCAGCCGGGCACAGGTGTGGAGGTCACAGACAGCAACGTGGTCACAGAGCATTTCATATTATTCTGTAACTAAATCCGATACATCCATTTAGTATGATATGTATGGGATGCATTAATTTGTGGATGTCCATCATCCATTTCGTATAAGACCAGTCTGCAGACAGAGGTCCAGCCGGGCACAGGTGCCGAGGGCACGGACAGAGGCCCAGCCGGGCACTGGTGTCGAGGGCACAGACAAAGGCTGGTGTCTTTCAGGACAAGGCTCCCATCTGGCAACTTTTTGAAGATGGGCCGCTTCATGTCTGCTATGGAAATCAAATCAAATCAAATTTTATTGGCCACATGCGCCGAATACAACAGGTGCAGACATTACAGTGAAATGCTTACTTACAGCCCTTAAGCAACAGTGCATTTATTTTTAATAAAAAAGTAGAATAAAACAACAAAAAAGTGTTGAGAAAAAAAGCAGAAGTAAAATAAAATAACAGTAGGGAGGCTATAAACAGGGGGGTACCGGTGCAGAGTCAATGTGCGGGGGCACCGGCTAGTTGATGTAGTTGAAGTAATATGTACATGTGGGTAGAGTTAAAGTGACTATGCATAAATAATTCACAGAGTAGCAGCAGCGTAAAACGATGGGGTGGGGGGGCAGTGCAAATAGTCCGGGTAGCCATGATTAGCTGTTCAGGAGTCTTATGGCTTGGGGGTAGAAGCTGTTGAGAAGTCTTTTGGACCTAGACTTGGTACTCCGGTACCTCTTGCCGTGCGGTAGCAGAGAAAACAGTCTATGACTAGGGTGGCTGGAGTCTTTGACAATTTTGAGGGCCTTCCTCTGACACCGCCTGGTATAGAGGTCCTGGATGGCAGGAAGCTTGGCCCCAGTGATGTACTGGGCCGTACGCACTACCCTCTGTAGTGCCTTGCGGTCGGAGGCCAAGCAGTTGCCATACCAGGCAGTGATGCAAACGGTCAGGATGCTCTCGATGGTGCAGCTGTAGAATTTCTTGAGGATCTGAGGACCCATGCCAAATCTTTTCAGTCTCCTGTGGGGGAATAGGCTTTGTCGTGCCCTCTTCACGACTGTCTTGGTGTGTTTGGACCATGATAGTTTGTTGGTGATGTGGACACCAAGGAACTTGAAGCTCTCAACCTGTTCCACTACAGCCCCTTCGATGAGAATGGGGGCGTGCTCAGTCCTCTTTTTTTTCCTGTAGTCCACAATCATCTCCTTTGTCTTGGTCACGTTGAGGGAGAGGTTGTTATCCTGGCACCACACTGCCAGGTCTCTGACCTCCTCCCTATAGGCTGTCTCATCGTTGTCGGTGATCAGGCCTACCACTGTTGTGTCGTCGGAAAACTTAATGATGGTGTTGGAGTCGTGCCTGGCCATGCAGTCATGGGTGAACAGGGAGTACAGGAGGGGACTGAGCACGCACCCCTGAGGGGCCCCCGTGTTGAGGATCAGTGTGGCAGATGTGTTGTTACCTACCCTTACCACCTGGGGGCGGCCCGTCAGGAAGTCCAGGATCCAGTTGCAGAGGGAGGTGTTTAGTCCCAGGATCCTTAGCTTAGTGATGAGCTTTGAGGGCACTATGGTGTTGAATGCTGAGCTGTAGTCAATGAATAGCATTCTCACATAGGGGGAAAGTTTGTAATTATGACTATAAGATGTAACATTTAATCACAGTGAGCAGATCGGATGTATAGATGGAACATTAAATTAATAGTGTTTAACCTTTGCCTAACATCTCAACTTGCTCAGCACATTAGAAAACACACACAGAGACACACACACACACACAAGCATAAGCAAGTACATGTTTATTCAATATCAACAGCTAGCTAGCTGTAGTGTTTGTTAAGTAATTTCAAAGTATCTAATGTTAGCTAGCTGGGTGTGACAAACAGGCCTACCATAAAATCACACAATGATTTCAGGCTAGTAGGATAATATTGGGGCTGTCATTAGACTATTTTGATGATGATGTGACAAACTATTTTGACAACCTGTCAGAACACGCAGCTAGCTACTGTTACTGTAAATACTGTACAGTAATACTAAGTTGTTAGCCAACTGTACTAACGTGATATAGCCTAATAAGCTGCGAAAGTTTAAAAACGTTACTGTTGAATGAAATGTTCATTGTAGAGACGGGGATGAGAGACCCTCCTCTTCTATAGTAGTTCCGGCCAATTATATACCTCTGTTCTCATTGGTCAATTCTTGGTTACTTCTTGGTTGCACTGGCATTTCCGATTGGTTGGCGAGTGCAATTCTTGGTTATTTCTTGGTTGCAGACGCCGATATGATTGGTTGTAGTAACCAGAAATGTCCTTCCATTGTCAAGGGGACTGCAATTACTGAGCTCTGTTGTCCATGTTTACAGAGAACAGAACGTGTCTTGTTTTGCATTTCAATTGTCAGGAGATGGCGTCTACGTGTAGGGGAGATTCTCAATTGTTTTGCTCAACTCCTTCATCTTCTTCTCGCCTCCTTTTGAAAAAGGTCAAAGGTAACCGAGGAGGGGAGGGGAGGGGAGGAAATGTGCAAACAAATGCACTTGAATGTAATGAGACTCTCCTTCACTTGAGCGTCGTCATGCAACGTTTAGGCTACAAGGGTTTAATCACAAATTAAATGTGTAAAGTAGTAAAAAGACATGTACAGTAGCTAGTTGTGCTAAACATTTTATAGAGCATCATATTGTGTTTAAATATGTGCATGCTTTTCTCCTCCCAGTAAACAACAGCTGATTCAAAGGGGGTATGGGAGATCTCAAAACTCTTCTGCGAAGGACTCAGATAGGATACTGTTGTGCTTCCTCTCTGGGAGGAGGCTGACAAGCAGGCGAGGACACTCCTCCGTTCGCCGACTAACTAATTGGCCTTTTCATAAATAGATTTGTTCAAGTCCTGCGTCCTCTCTCCTGCGTCCTCTCTCGCCTCCTTTTGAAAAAGCTCAAAGGTATCGAGGAGAGGAGGCAAGGAGAGTCGACTTGGATGAAAATGGCTTGTATGAAATGAGAAGCTCCTTCTCCACTCGTGCATCATCAGGCAAATTACGTTTACAGTGTTGGATCCCAAAATAAATGTATAAAGTTATCAAAACGAATTAAGTCAGTTGTGCAAGACATATTGGAATTAGTAACATCATAGGTTTTGCGAAATCTTAACACATGGTACATTTTACTAATTTGTAAGGTATAGTATATTTAGGAAATTCGTAACATCATACGAATTGTAATTCATAACATATCATACGAAATGGATGATGGACATCCACAAATAATACATACAATATGAAACGTAAAATACATTAAATGGTGTATCTTTGATATATGTACAGAATAATATGAAATGCTCTGAGACCAGGTTGGGTCAAGGAGGAAGGATGGAGGACCAAACGAGAATCTCCCAACCAACCTAAGTTAGAACTGTCTCAAAAAGAACTTCTGCCGAAACCCGGGATCGAACCAGGGACCTTTAGATCTTCAGTCTAACGCTCTCCCAACTGAGCTATTTCGGCTACACTTCTCAAACTGGCCCCATAACAATTACTCATAATTTGCCAGTCTGTGGTTGCCTGTCCGGTGTATTTCGTTGGCTTCAGGACCATGAATATTTTCTACTCATCTTTTTATAACAGGGAGTGACAAATGCCCCCACATCGTTGGAATAATCACTCACACGTTCTATTTTAAACTGCTAGAAAGACAATGCTGCCATCTGCTGGTCCCCTGACAAACTCACACATACTTTTAGTTAGAATTTTTATTAAAATTAGGCTAACCTTTTACTGACTACAGGTACGAGAAGGAGCCTCAGTTGATCGGGAGTCTACTTGCTAACAGACACAGGTTATCAATGTGTAATGGGAATTCTAGAACTGCTCGGACAAAATGACCTGTTATTTCATCCATTGTCCATGAGAGGGTGATAGTGAACATATCAAATTTGCACGTACCCTTCCGGATGATGCAATATTAATGTGGTCTAACTCAAACATTCTATTAGTTATAGTTTATGTATTATATAAGTTACAGTCTTGTTTATGAACAACATTTTAACACATTATTTGAAAACGAAAACCTCTTTATTTTGTCTAAGCATAACTGTATGTAGGTATAATTTCTATTGCATAAAGGCGTTCTACATTATATATTTTATGACTATTTTTTTTTTCTGCTGAATTGTCGACATGTAAAAGAAATAGCAGAGGATGGTTTCGATCCATCGACCTCTGGGTTATGGGCCCAGCACGCTTCCGCTGCGCCACTCTGCTGTCTGATGTAATGGTTGAGAAATGTAGCCTTTGACCCTGTGGGACCAGCTCATCGCTTTCACAATTAGAATCTCAGAGGCTCCCTCAAGAGAATTTCAAAAGAACAATACTTCTTTCACTGTCATAGTAAAATACGTATAGACGAATCTAATGACAAAATGGATATAATTACACTAACTTATAAATGTTCTGTCTAAAATGTTGTTTTTTTTATCAAGTCATTTATTTTATTTACAACCACATGAAAGATGTGAGAAAAAACGACAAATATGAAATAAGGCATCTGATGGAAATCCAATGGCACAATTATTATACTATATATAATTCCCCCCCAGACATATGTTATAAACTAAGGCCTTTCTTATTCAGTGTCAGGGCCACTTCCCCAGTCTTTGGTCTTACATGTCATTGTGTCCTTTGAGATCGCTTAATTTATTAGAGATGTATGCATTTTCTTTGTTCTCTCTGCAAACGCCATTAACATCAGGTATATTTTCAATGAAATATGATATGATCCTGTATTTTATTGCTTTACTAGTATAATAAAGGATACAATGCTTGTCTATAATAGTGCAAAACTATAGTGTCCGTTTAGTATTTCTGCCTACAGCATGGACTCAACCATGATACAATGGAATTATGTTAGATGAAAAGAATACAACGGCAGCATAGGTGATACATTTGCCATTTACTCAACATAAACTGAACAACCAATCCAGTTAGCATGTCAGGAGAGAAACATTAAGCCTAGTCCTGGACTAAGGAGAATTTTCAATTGATCCATCAGGAGAGTCAGCCTGTCCTTGCATTGGATATCAGACACTGGTTGACCACCTCCAGAAGCTGGGAGTTCTCGAGTGCAGCGGCCACTCTCTCTTTGTCTGCCAGCTGTTTGTTGACTGGAACAAAGCAAAAACAAAAGGGTTTAGGTTAGGGGCAATTCCACGGTAACTGAGTGATGCTGAGACTCAGATATTTCAGTTTAAGATATATGTAAAACAAAAACCAATGATTGCAAAGTTAAACAACCCATTCAACTCTATGCACAAGGACTTGAAGGTGTGATTGTTGGTCTCAGCCTCAATGTTGAGTTACTTCAGAGGCATGTCACTTTACCTGCATCTTCTGAGGCATGCGTCCCAGGAGTGATGTGCACGTCAATCTGCGGAGATATGATTAGGCATAGACGGACATGACCCACTATGGTAATGTTAAATGTTCAGACAATAAAACAATATTAAAGCTTGCTCTCACAGCTCACCAGAAGCAGACATAATTTATTTCACCCACCTTAAACCTTTCTGGCAGGGACCGCAGCAGCTTGACTTTGATGGACAGGCCTATGAGAGTTGCCATGCTGCAGTGGGGTATAGTGGGGGTGAACTCCACACCCACTGTGTTCTCTTGGTCATTTACCTGTAAAGAAAAATAAAGTTGATGGTTTTATTAGGTTAACACAGTATAGGCTATCTACACGAATGTGTTTGTGTGTCGAACTTCTAACTTGTGAAAGAAGTTTAACTCACGCGCACTCGCACTTGTTCCACGACATTCAACTCTTCGAGGGACAGTGGGTGTTCAGGATCATTAATGGATCTGATGAGATGTAGCGCGTGTTAAGGTGAAATCTGATAACACAATGTTGAGTAATTAGCTTTCTTATTAAAGAATGAAGCATCATATGCAAAGTTAATTAGTATGACATTGAAAGCTCAATGTATCCTTTAGCTAGCTAACGTTACACAGAAAGGATATCAAATATTTCTCTGTCGTCGATGGGATCAGCAACATCTTCGTCCTCGTCATTTGCGGTCTGAAGTCTCTCGCCTGTTCGTTGAAAAATCAAGGGATTCGCGTTCTCTAAACGGGTCCCCCCTGACATTTGTGATGTTGAAATAAAAGAAATACGGTATATATGTTTGTGCTATTGTTTTTTACTGTGGACCACGGGACTGAACGATCCACTTCCGGAAACAGTACGGAAAACTGTAGACGTCTAAACGAACACAGGCGCAGCCCAGCGATTTAGTGTAATGTTGGATTTCCAGATGTATCCAGCAGGTAGCAGCATACTCATCTTAAATTCTGTAATGTGACTGCGTGAACTACAAGGTTAATCAATAATGGTAAGATTACACAGAAGCAAGAAAATAATGATCCAAGTTCAAAATAATGTTTATGCTAAAATGTTTCATAGATAAAACAGCAATTCAATTAGCCCTCTTACACATGTGAATTGTGAATCCCAGGCAAAGCAGCTTTGTACCATAGACTCAAATGATAAACTCTAGCTAATATCTTTAGTAGCAGTATAAGTAACATCTGATGACTCAGAATACCATCTCCAATGCACCATTTCAAAGCCAAGCCTAACCCATAATTGTACACTTAATCACCTGTGTATTTTGGAACATGTTTGAAAAGGTTTAAATCCAGTTTAAACTGTACTTTCACTATGTATGTTTATAGTATCAATAGCAGCCGACAAAGTTAATGTTGTTATGTCCAGATTTCGAGTGATACATTACATAAATTAGCATCTTGTGTGATTCCTTTTACTGTGCCAAATAATCTAAATAGCTGAAAGACATTAGCTATTAGAAATACTGGGCACACACTATTCAAAATACCCCAAACCCATTTGTTGAGTGTCACCAATGCAAACAATAACATTGAAAACCACTATTGAAAAACCTTGGTAATATATCACTAAGGACTTCCTTTAATCTGAATGCAAACGGACCTTCTCTCTGTCTATCTTGTCAACAGCTGTTGAAGAAACCTCCTGGTTTGCTCGCTCCAGTACACAATGAGCCTCCATTGTACCCTAAAGCCTGTCCCAGCCTGAAATACCTGTTTAGATGGAGCTTGATAACACACCTTCCTTATATCATTTGCATGAGCCCAGCTTGGTTGTGAGCTCATAGGAGGCAGCAGTATCTTGTTGAACTTTATTCAACCCCTGTAAATGATCAGATTGTATCCTAATCCAACAAAAAAATTTCACTTGAATTACAAGAACTGTGATTATGCATGTATTTCAGTATCAAAGCTTGCAAAGTAAAAATACAGTGTACCAACTCAAATTCTCAAGCTATTCCTCACCCTTGGTTGTTTTTAAGTTACTCATTCATCAGCACTGTCGGTGGGATTAGTTCAGTGGGGCAGTTAGCTGAACGACCTACATTCTGTGTCAACAATAACAATTAAGGTAAAGGCAGTCAGGATTCTTGGGTGTGGTTAGTTTGCTCTAGGCTAAGTGCTGGGCTGCTAGCCATTCCCCCAGGGACACTTATCAGCATGCTATCCTTGCCCTAGTCTTTGCTGACCTAGGCAATACTATGCACAAGTAACTTTTCACCTTATGTAAAGAAAGAGAGGAGTCAGGGGACTGTCAAAAAGGTGAGTGAGCGTCAGTGTGCCATCTCTCTACAGGTGATGAAACACAAGGAAGGAGGACACACAGACAGACAGGATATGGATATATTTTAGCGCCTCCTACCAGCATAGAATCCTTTTAGCCCTGGAATGTGGAGTCAGGTAGCATGTGTGAGTGATTTCTTTCCATCCCACTGACCCCACCCTTTCAGAAGGTAAAGAGAGACTTTCAACACAGTTTCTGCATGACACTCCACAGTGACATCACAACAGCTTTGAGAACTGGTTGAGAGTGTCTTGGGGCCCCACACGGTTTGCTGAAACCCCCATGAGCCTGGAGCCCTGCAACTGAGACAGCGTTGGTCGTCTCTGGGTGCACTGTTGCAGGAGTGCCATTTCATCTCAATACTCAAGAGTGTGGAGAGGAGGGGTAGAGTCACAGACACCCTCATGCCTGAAGCCGGGAAGCTTAATGTAGCTCTCCTGGAGACGGGAAATCCCATCACCACACATTCCAGGAAAACAAAAACCCAGGCACAACTCAAGACAGGTCTTGTCTATCCCTGGCCCTGGCTGTTGTTCCAGACAAATCTGAACATGCTGTAAAGCATGGGGCTGGTTAATCCGGGAAAGAAAAGGATGGCTGGCTACTTAGAAACATGATTCCATAACCTAATCAGATTGTGGAGGTTATGCATGCATAAACATTTTATAGAGTCTAAAAGCCTCACTCTGCGTTGATGGGCTTTTATGGCCTGATGGTGTAGAGAGGAAGTCAATCACTGGACAATAGAGGGATATTGGCTGATCACAGCGTTTAAATTGATGTCCAATGACTACTTCGGGTCAATGGGTGAGCTCATTAGGAATGTACAGTATACAATTACCAGAGTACTGCACATAGCCTTACACTGAAAAAGTGTCATATCTCCATAGAGCATTTCCCTTCAATCTTGATCCCTTGATCTTTGTGGGGGGGGGGGGGGGGGGTTGAATAAGGATATTGTCATGCTAGATCTTTGACGTGAATGAGCACAGAGACGGATGAGTGTGTTGGCTGCTACTGTAGAGACTTAATACAGGAAGAGTAGATGTAATACAGAACCAGTCGCTCTTTGAACATATAACTACCCCTCCCCCATCACCCTGAGCATCACCTTGTTAACTGCTGTCGTCCAAGTGGCTCTATCAGCCCTCTTTCAAAAACCACAAAACACAACAACACATAACATATACTGTATAATTCATGATCAACACACTGTAGCTAGTTTGCTCTCTAGCTTTCAGGGATGAAGTTGGTAAAACTTGGCAGATGAGGATAACAAATGCTTAAAACGTTATTGTTGTATTAAGCCTAAGTGCCAAACATCTCCCATTAGACGGATGGATAATTGTTGAAGTTAGGTGTACTATAATAAACAAATGCTTTAATCAGGAGATGTACAAGACTTTGTTTATTATAATGTTTTCAAAATGATTTCCTGAATGTTTTGCGTAGGTTTCAGCCGCTATCATTTCAATAGGGACAGTAAGGTCGAAACCAATTACATTCTTTAAACATTGACAGTAGTTAATAAATGACAGTTTGCCCCTATAACCAGCCAGCGCCAATGGCTGTGACAGAACCCTTCATGAGAAACCAGCTAGACTTGTTGAAACCATTACGCATCTGCGGAAAAACCCTGTTTCGTTGCTTCAAAAAGATAATGTTAGATTCTTTACACTCATAGAATAAGCGAGACAACGTTCTTATGGAAAACCTGAAACAGTAAACTGTTTTCAATGAATAATTCAAGCTTCTTAAAATGGTCATTCATTATATTTTCTTCAAGGATTTTAAACAAAGTAACTAAATTACTTTTGCTTCAGTACTTCTTTAACCATTAGTCTCTGGCTCTATCAGGATAGAATTCCCCGAAGAGATTTCCTGTTAACAATATGACCACATTAACAAGTCAGGGCACAGTCAGTCTCCCAACCATACACAGTAAAATAAACATATGAGATCCTGAACGTCAGACTGTGTGATGGGATGGCAGTCTAAATGCAAAAATTAAGACATAAAAGTTGATATCTCATTAAAACATAGGCTACACTTTCACTCCTGTGAGACCATCTGAAGGGAACCCGTGAATTGAGCAACAATTTTGCTATCAAAATGGATGGCCAATCTAATTAAGGGGAACATTAAAGTCCAATGTACTGGTGATGACTGGTGATTATGATATAATGAGCTTTCACTGACACACATACAGTACTGAGTACAGCAACACAGGCTGTTCCTCTGGCTAAGTCTGGGAACTCTCTCCTAGAGCTTCCTCACAGTCACGTGTTATAGCACAGTTTACTTTACCAAACTCACTGTAGTATTTGTCCTTTGGGGTTAATATACAAGCACAGATAGCCACACAACCAAATAATGATTAACAAGATCCCCATAGCCTCCTTTCCTCTCGGACTGAAGAGTTGGGAGTCTTCCTCCTAATTAGCACAAAGTCAAGTCCAGCTAGGGAGTGTAGTTCTGGAGAATATGTTATACATTCCAGCATAGATAAGGAAAACTGAAGTAAATACTGTCCTTCAGTGGATGCGAAGACATGGTAACATTTACAAGGACGTCTCATATGAGACGTGAGTCTCACACAATGGATAAAAAGTGCATGATACGCCTATCTAGGACTGCAGTAGCAAATTACCCTGTAGTGTGTTAATGTATTCATTATGAGCAAGAAGTTCAAATTATTTGTGATGTTCCGAGTCAGAAATGGGATGTAAAGCCTAAAAATATATTCCATCAAACAATACGCTACTGTATCTATCTCCTGGGTCATGAAGTGAGGCATGTGATTAAGTCAGTTGTTAGATATGGACTACATACCATGTAATTTCTGATTGGCCTTCACTGTTCATACTTACTATGACAAAGCACAGACACGATTTGATTTATCATACAATACCAGCTGCTGTCCATTCAGATTGTGAATTCAGAGACGATCTACACAACACAAAGAAGGGAACTGGAAGAGAGAAGATAAGATCATAAAATTGCTTGACTCACAATTTCCCACTTTCATGTCAAGTGACTGTGGAGCTGTGAGCATCAGATTAATTGTAAATGGAGGTTCTGATAACTGTCAAATGGTTTGAGTGCTAAGCTACAGGACTGCTTTGCTAGCACAGACTGGAACATGTTCCGGGATTCTTCAGATAGCATTGAGGAGTACACCACATCAGTCACTGGCTTCATCAATAAGTGCATCGATGATGTCGTCCCCACAGTGACCGTACGTACATACCCCAACCAGAAGCCATGGATTACAGGAAACATCCGCACTGAGCTAAAGGGTAGAGCTGCCGCTTTCAAGGAGCGGGACCTTAACCCGGACGCTTATAAGAAATCCCGCTATGCCCTCTGACGAACCATCAAACAGGCAAAGAGTCAATACAGGACTAAGATTGAATCGTACTACACCGGCTCTGACGCTCGTCGGATGTGGCAGGGCT